TTTCTGTTTCGTTCGGCCGGCATTTTAAATCTCCCTCCCGGCGGCCGCGTGCTTCCGTCCCCCAGCGCCCCGGGGTCTCGCAGGTGCGGCCCGCCCGCCGGCGCCCCGGGAATCCCGACTGCCCCGGGAACGTGTTCCACCGACAGACCACCTTTAAAAAAAAATTTTTTTCCCCCCCGTGGGGCAGAACGTTTAAGCACTGAACGTCGGCGAGGGCTTTCCGGTGGCGCGAGGGGCACACCGACACCTCTTCATGTATTTTTACTCTCGGACCCCAAACCACGGGGCGGGAGGGAAGGCGGGGAGCGCGGGCCGGACTGAACTCACCGGGAGGCAGGCCCACGGCCTTGAACTCCGCGTTTGATGTCTGTGCCGTGTTCATGGAAACGCCGAGCGGAGGAGCTCGTTTCAATCCCAGATGGACACTCGGCATAATTACGAGTGTTTGTGGGGGGAAAAAAATGGGTGTAAGTAGAACGAACACGAGTAATTTTAATGGAATGCCTAGGTAAACAAACCTGCAGTGAGTAGTACTTTTGAGTTAAAAAACAACACGTGAGCGCGTGGTTCATTTGGGCTCTGGCGGCGGCGGTGCACCTGCATTGAGACCACTTTTGAAACAGCTGTTAACACGAAGTAACCATCGATATGGAAAGAGAAATCTAGACCTTGATCTAGAGGAGATTTTAAATTTCAGCCCCCCAAAACCAGCCCTGCAGGGAACTCGGCGTCTCGGGGACCGCGGGACGCGGAGGCCCCGGGGCGGTCGGAAGCTCAGCGCGGGCGGCGCAGCGCGTCGCGTTTCTGACAAGCGGCTGGGGGTTTTGTTGTCATTCTCTAACTCTTTCAGATTAAGCAGTCTTGTAAAAAAAAAAAGTCGCTGTGAGTTGAAATTTATTGCTTTTTATCCGTTTTTGTTTACTCATAAGTTTGAATCAGGTTTTTATTAAAAGCCCCAAATAATGCAAGGCGCGTTGTTTTTTATTGATTCAGGTTAGACACTGAGTGCACGGATGGATGATGGATTTTATTCAGCCTGCGAAGGGATCTGCAGGCAGAGAAGACACGTGTTAGAAACTGGAAGTGAGGAAAGGCAGTGATGCAGAATATTTATAGAGTACTCCCTCCAGGAACCCAGAGCAAGATGCGAGGAAGGAAGGATGAGTATGAGAATAGAGACCTTTTGTAGTGTTATTTTCACGTTTCATAATTCTGTTGAACAGGCAGAAAGGAAGCAAAAAGTGTAAAATAGTGATTTTTTTTTTTCATCTTGTATTGGTCTAAACCTATAAAGAGTACTCCCAGATGGTAATATGTGTACGTATGTGAGTTATTACAGACACGTGCTTTTCTTGCTGTATTAATTTTTAAAAGTTAATCAGAGGTTTGGCTTATTCCTGCCATACTTGTGAAAGCATACTAGGGGGAGATGCACTCACATGGGGAAAAAATCACCATGATTCCCAAACTCAACTTTTGGCCTTGGTGATTTATCATGTCCTTTTCTTCTCAGTGATCACTTAACTGGAAATTTGGCGCTTTTTCATACTGGGTTCCCTTATTCTGTTAAATGCAATATTTAGAAGTTCCCAGTTCTCATCCTGGCCCAGTAGCTGAGCTGGTTGGAGCCTCCCAATCAGGGCACATATAAGAAACAACCAATGAATGCATAAATAAGTGGAACAACAAATCTCTCTCTCTCTCTCTCTCATAATAAATAAGTAAAATAAAATTTCCCAATTGTCTGCGACAAGTTAATTGGTGATGTTTAATCCTATGAATAAAGCAAAAAAGATATTTTATTTGCTCTTCAGTATATTTTCTACCATAAAGTATCCCTAAAAAAAAATAACTGAAATCCACAAATTAGAAGTGTCTGGGATTACCTTAATTTCTAAATTAGTTACTTTGAGAAGTCCCTGGTAGGGAATGTTTATGCTTCAAAACCTATGTCCTACCGCCCTTATTTATTCGGAGGGCAAAGTAACAACTTCAAACTTTAAATGAATTAAAGACATTCATTAATGTCTTTTTTACACTTGAAAACTAGCAAATAGTTCTGAAGGACTCCTAAAGACACCTGAGAAAATTCAGCTACTGCATGAATCAGGCCAATTAAATTTAAAATCTTTTACTTTTTTGATTTTTAATTTTAAAAACTTTGTTGTGGAAAATTTCAAACACACAAAGTAGAGGTAATAGTACAATAAATCCTAATTTATACTATTCACCTAGCTTGAACATTTATCAATATATGGCTAATATTATTTCATCTATGATCCTCTTACCCTTGTTGGATTATTATCATTTTATCTGTAAATACTTTAAATATGAAAGCATAAGAGATAACTTTAAAAACCATCTACAATACTGTTATTCCATCAAAAATCATTACTATCATTTAATATCCAGACAATTCAAATTTCCCTATTGTCTCATTAATGTCTTTTTTACACTTGGTTTGTTCAACAGGATCCAAGCAAGTTCCACACTTTGCATTTGGTTAGTGAAGTCCTTTCTAAACCAGTAAGAGGCCGTTAATTCCCTATTTAATTCAGTGAAGCACATAGCAATGTTTTCCTAAGGAAGAACATTGGATGTTTGAATGGTTGTAAAGCACTGTTA